TGAAGGTGCAAGGACTACAGAAGCTCTTGCCGAATTCGTGAACAATGAAGGAGGTATATATGTTTTCTATCTTGTATTATTACTACTGTAGAGCGTATGGAGCATTCATTGCAGGAGGCTAAAGTTGGGTGTATTGTTAAATTACATCCGATCTAGTATGTGCTAAGAATCGATAGCAACATAATCTGCTAATCGTTTCTTTTTGCATGAAATCTTTTCCACTCGTGGATAACATTTGCACGAACGGAACTAAATGCAAACCTCTTGCCTGGGGCAATTACTTTTGCCCTGTGTAGTTTTTTAGTGTCTTCTCCTAGAACACATTCTTACATAGTCTCTTCTTGGTCCCTTCACTTGTATATCTTCAGGGACAAATGTGAAGATTGCTTCAGCCCCTTCAAACGTTGTCGTCCTGACTCCAGATAACTTTGACGTGCTCGATGAAAAAAAGAATGTTCTCATCGAGTTTTATGCTCCTTGGTAAGGGTAAAAAGTAATTTATGTAACTTGGAGACCATGGTATTGCATTAAGCAATGCGGTGGTCTTGCAATTAGTTGGAACCTTTAGGGTTTGATTGGTTATGAACTTAACTTAAAAAAAAGAACAACCAATCAAAATTCAAAATTAATTTAACACCACTATCCTCAATATTATCAATATAATTAATGTATCAACCAATCATTCTTACACATCACATCAACTTTAATTCACTATTCATTCACTTAAAAAAATTAATTAACCATCACTTTTCTAAATCATTTTTTTCCTATTTTTACATTAAAATAACTATAATTATTTTATTTTAAATAATTTTTTAATTTAACTTAAATTTCCACTAACAACTAACCACACCACATTTTTTAAAACTAAATGTGGTAAAAAAAAACAATCAAAAACCAATCAAATCCATATCCAATCACACGCACCCTTAGTCTTTAGTCTTTACAGAAGCCTCATAGAGTGTCTTAGATAGTTATGTTAGTCTAACTTGCTTCTCTAAATCTAATAATTTGGTTTTCCAGGTGTGGTCACTGCAAGAATCTTGCTTCTGTAAGTGCCATACTGGCTTATAGAATAAATTCGCTGATATGTTTGTTGGAGAAACTGATTGAATAATCATATCTATATTATCTGCTTGTAGACCTACCAAAAAGTTGCAACGGCATTCAAGCTGGAGGAAGATGTGGTCGTTGCGAATATTGATGACGACCAACACACGGATCTTGCGCAAAAGTGAGTTTTTAAGACTAGCTAGTTGTTTCTTCCTTAACTGGTTTTGTGTTTTGATGAGTTTTTGTGTGTGTGTGTGTGCATGTGTCTTCCGTTTATAATGGTTATCCTTATGAATATTTCCTGCAAAACAGGTACGGTGTTAGTGGTTTTCCCACGTCGAAATTCTTCCCAAAGGACAACAAGGCTGGTGAGGATTATGATGGTGGCAGAGATTTGGATGCATTTGTTACTTTCATCAATGAGAAGACTGGTACAAGCCGAGATGGGAAGGGACAGCTGACATCAAAGGTTTATAATAGCAACGTTAAAGGTGTGATTCTCGTTCTATCTATTTCTGAAACTAATTTGCATTTTGTTTTTTCGTTTACTTAGGCTGGTATAGTGGAGAGTCTTGATAACTTGGTGAAGGAATTTTTAAGTGCAACAAATGACGAGAAGAAAGATATATTCAAGAGGTTGGAGGAGGAAGCTGATAAGCTTGATGGTTCTTCTGCCAGGTTCTCTCGATGATAACTCATGTTATTATTGCTTGCCTCTGGATTACACACTTGAAAGTTTGTTATATTTATCTTCCCAAATTATCTGTCTGAATTTTTCGGTAGGTATGGGAAAATCTATGTGAAAGCAGCTAAGAGCTGCCTTGACAAAGGTTCCGATTGTGCTAAGAATGTAGTTCTTCGTTTGCAGCGCATGCTTGCCAAGGTAAGCCATTCATTATTCCAGACCATAGGTAATTTCCCGTGTGAGCATTTAAATTAAAAATTGATGTCCTCCCTGTGCTTGATGCTCAGCTGGAGAAATTGTAGCAAGCTTTTTTCACATACTTCCCTATTAATATTTCACATAGTAATTCGTACTCTTTCTCTTTATTAACCCGGACCAACTGCTTTATGTAATAGCATTTAGCTGGAAATTTTTATGTATTTGCTCAAAATCTCTTCAATGAATGGAGCATGCCATATAAGTTAATATTAGTCGAATTATAATACAACACATATTTAGCTGTCCATGCCTTCCGATTGAGTATTTCTTGATATCAGAAAAACTTGGACAATTTTTTAATAAGATTTGCTGTTGATATGCAGTCAATCAGTGCAACAAAGGCTGATGAGTTCACCCCGAAGAAGAATATTCTATCGACCTTTGCTTCCGAACAGTGAAAAGGTTTATAGCTGTTGATGATGAACTATAGAGATGTACGCATGAATTTGAATTTAAGGTTTTGCAGCATCCCTTACGCGACGCGACTCCATTGTAGCATAGTTCTTATTCTGTTTAACGTCCTCTTCGTTTGCCTTTTGGCCCCAAAAATTAAGCTCCAAAGAGATGATTTCTCTGTATTGGCTATGTGCAATTGTTCGTCAACATTTGGTGGGATTTCACTCAAGACATCACGCGACTCCATATGATTCTATTTCAGTCTTATCAGATAATTCCATTTTATAACAATTATCTCAACATCTCTTCAATTTTCTTGGTGATGTATTTATTTATTTATTTAATTTTTTTTAGAACACTGATCTGTGAGTCAACCATAAGTAACTGCGTAGCAACGAAGGATAGTTATATTGATGCATTTATCTTTTAAAAGAGAGTAATAT